GGTGAGCAGGCAGCCCACCTTGGCCTTGATGATCTGCTCCATGTTGGAGGTGACATCGTCCAGCTCCAGCTTGAACTCGCTCTTCTCCTTCTCCAGCTTCTGCTTCACGCGCTGCAGGTTGTCGATCTGCTCGCTCAGCTCGGCCACGCTGTCCGCGTGCTTCTTGCGCAGGGCCGCCGCCGTGGCCTCGTGCTGCAGCGTGGCCTCCTCCAGGTCCCGCCTCATCTTCTGGAACTCGGCCTCGCGCTTCTTGTTCATCTCGATCTGCACGGACGTGGCCCCACCGGCCTCCTCCAGCCGCTCGCTGATCTCCTCCAGCTCCCGGGACAGGTCTGAGCGCAGCTTCTCCACCTTGGCCCTGGCGGTGCGCTCGGCCTCCAGCTCCTCCTCCAGCTCCTCGATGCGAGCCTGGCCCAGGACACAGAGGGCTCAGCCCCACCGCCCGGAGCCGTCTGGCGGAGCCCCCACCCCAGAGCTCTAGGACATTCCTGGCCTGTCTGGAACAGCAAATCTTTTCAGTTCTACCAGCAGAGAAGTAGAAATAAAAGGATTTGGAGAAGATGTTTTGGACAGCTGAACTAGGCTTCCTTTAGGCCAGAACATTGTACATGTTCTATTGGAAAGAAAGTGGTTGAAGCTTGATCTTTGAGAGGGACAAAGAAACCTGTGTTCTAAGGATATTTTAAGAAGTTTAGTGGCAAAAGTATTAAAAGTTTAGAATGAGAGAGCCATGTTTGTCCAAAGACCTAACATGGTGTCTGCTCGAGGGGTAAGAATCAAAGTCACAGACTATCAGGGCTAAAGGGATCTTAAACGCCATTGGTAACAAGGGAGGACACAGAAACCCAGATATCAGGAGTGGGCACTCCACAGTTGCCAGCTAAACCAGAGCTGAGACAGGAAGCCAGGATTTCTGCTCCCTACACCTGTGACCTTTTCAAGGTCTCTTCCCGTGTCATCCTTGGATCACCCAGCCCCTCCTAGGGGTGCTCCATGGGTGAACTGTGGTAGCTCAGTATCTCCCTTCATGGACACATGGCAAGTTCCTGTAATGCTGGGGAGAGGACATCCTGGAGGAGGGGATGGAGGAAGCTGACGGCCAGCCCAGGGGCTCCAGCCTAGGCATCCCACACCTTACCTGAAGCTCTTTGAGCTTCTTCTGCAACTGGCTGCCCAGGGCCTGCTCATCTTCAATCCTCGCATTGAGGGCATTCAGCTCAAAGTCCTTCCTATGGGGAACGAAGGAAATTAAGATGAAGAAGATCGGCTGGGCAGCAGGTGGGCCCGTCAGTGGTTGGACATGGTAATACAAAAAAACAAAGAGCAGGATTTCATCAGAAAAATAGCGTCTGGGGCTGATGTAGGGTCCCTGAAAATGTAATGCATGCTGAAGGCCTGAAGTCCAGCAAGAATGTAATGGGCAGAGCACCACAGGTGGAGTGACAAGACCTGGGCTCTGTGGGACTTCCTCTCTGGTCCTGTGGAATGATGGCATTGGATTAGATGGTTTCAAAGGCCCCTTTTAGCTCTGATGGCCTTTAATTCTATCACTGTTACTTTGGGCACTTTGGTTAAACTTCCTGAGCCTTTGTTTCCTCTTTGGTAAAGTGGGCCTCAAAATACCATCCTTAGAAGGAGGTTTGAGGATCCTTGGGATCATATATTCCTTCATTCATTCAACACATGCTGTGCCTGGGGAAGTGTGAGGACTCCTGGGCAGACACAGGCTCCATGAGGATGTAATCATGATGGTTCTCAGAGCCTTTCAAAGTCTGAACCCTAAAGCTGCATAAGATATTTGATTATCCAAATCTACCCTGCAGGCTCAGTTTTTCAAGTGTGGGAAGTGGATCTGTACATCTTGGTAGGACTTGCAATAAGAATTGGATCCATGAGTTAATCAGACCCCCGCACTGCTCAAGCGTGGTGGCTGACCCATTTCTCTGTGGTCCTCGGAGCTCTCTGAGAAGGACCCGAAAGGCCTTTCCTGAGAGGCTTTTGTGTGGAGCCTTCCTCGGTGTTAAGCAACTGGTCTCCAAAGAGACTTGTGTGTAGAAGGAGGTAAGCTATGAGTTTCTATCCCTCTTCGCTGCCCAACAGGAAGAAAAGGCTTGAGGGATCCAGGTTAGACTTCCTGCCAGGGAGGACTGCAGGGCCCTGCTGCATGTGTCTGGGGAAGGAGAGGCCTCTTCCTGGAGGCCTCTGCCCATGGTTTTGCACCCACTGATGGAGGCTGTGTGAGGCTGTGGCCTCTGAGGATGGACATGTTGGGGCAGCTTGTGCTGTCATAGGTAGAAAAGGCTGCTGAGCTGGGGAGGAGGAAAGGCGCTGGGGAGGGGAACACGCTACTTTTTCAGCCGCTCATCCAGCTGCTGCTTGTCATTCTCCAGGTCCATGATGCTCTCCTGGGTCAGCTTCAGGTCACCCTCCAGCTTCCGCTTTGCTCGCTCCAGGTCCATGCGCACTTTCTTCTCCTGCTCCAGGGATCCCTCCAGCTGGTGGGGAGATGGACCAATGTGCCCCATAAGACAAATCATCCTGATTTGGTGATTTGGAAGCTCAGTCACTCCAGGTTTGGGGAATCCTAAGAGATGTCCAGGACTTGGAAAAGCTTTCCCAGAGTGGGCCAAGGGACTATGAGACTGCCTAGCACTGAGGGATGCTCAGTAACTATTTGATAATGATTTCATGAATGAATTTCATGAATGACTGTGTGATGAAACCCAAAGCTCCATTCATTCATTCAGCAGGCTCCTGCAGTCCTGTGCTAGGCACTTCAGATGCAAAACTGAATCAATCCAAGTTCTCACCTAAAGACAGCTTACAGTGTTATGGCTGAGACAGATACTTCAATAATGATAACATGGGTGATAAATGATCCAAAGGAGATATGCACAGAGAACTATCTGTGGAACAATGATCACTGAGGGCCAGATCCCACTTAAAATATTAGAGGTCCAAAGATCCTCAGAGCCTCACAAAATTCCCAAAGAAATGTACTGGATTCTTATGTGATAACTCTCTAGACCCTGTGGTCGAAGGTAGAGATATAAAGGCTTGAACCTAATTGAAAAAAGGAAGTCCATCTCTATTGTTGATCATATCAGTGGGGTGAGATACATAACTCATAATTGATCACCCTTCCCTTTTTCTATTCCCCAGCTCCCTTCTAGAAATGTACCAAGGGAGGGAACACTCTCCAATCCCATCCTTCCAAACACACACACACACACACACATACACACACACATACAGACCTGGTATATCTAGGCCCTGTGACAATCTACTTACATCGTCCACCTGCTGCTCCAGCTTGACCTTAGCCTTGGTCAAGGTATTGACCTTGTCCTCCTCAGCCTGAAGGTCATCTAGGGCCTGCTGGTGGGCTTCTTGCAGAGCCTTCTTCTCCTTGGTCAGCTTGGCGATGATCTCATCTAGCCCAGCCATCTCCTCTGTCAGGTTCTTCACCTGTTGACCAAGAACCCCATCCCCTTTAGGGTCAGAGGTCATCAGCCTGGAGACATCTATGAGGATGTCCAAGACCAAGGACCAGGACCACACCATGGTCTAGGAATCCTGAGAAGACCTGAGATAGAACCAGAAGGAACTGCCCTCACCTTGTTCTCTGTTGCATGCTTCTCCTTCTCCACCTTGGCCAGCGTCAGCTCCAGGTCATCAATGTCCTTCTTGAGCTCAGAGCACTCATCTTCCAGCTTGCGCTTCTTGGCAGTGAGCTCTGCATTCATCTCCTCCTCGTCCTCCAGCCTCTCGGTCATCTCCTTCACCTTGGCCTCCAGCTGGATCTTGTTCTTGATCAGCTGGTCACAGCGTTCCTCTGCATCATTGAGGTTATCTTGTTCCTGGGAGAAGAGGACAGAGAGGAGAGTTGGTGATTAAAGAGAGGAAAGATCCAGCGTCTTAGTTCCTGGGGATGAGATGGGCTATAATCCAGGGGAGGGAAGGGGAGGAATGAAGAGATCGTCGTGTGACCTCACCGCCTGCACTTGGAGCTGGAGATCATTCTTTTCCTGCAGCAGGGATACCATCTTCTCCTCCAGCTCCTTGCGGCGAGCCTCCGACTTCTCCAGCGCCTCTTTGATGCGCGCAAACTCCTCCTTCATGTTGGCCATCTCCTTCTCTGTCTCTGCACTCTTGAGTAGTGGCTTGATCTTGAAGTAGAGCTTCATCCAGGGCCAGTTCTTAACCCCCATGAAGGCCCGAATGTTCCACTGGATTACCAGCAAGGCATCCCTGGCAAGAAAACACGGAGGCAGGAAGGGGCACTCTGAAAGAGCACTTCCCAAGCATGGGACCAACTGCAATTGGCTCCCAGCCCATCTAAACAAGCTCAAAGGCACCTGAGGGCAGGAGCCCTGTCTTGTTGCCTTGATATGCACCCCCCCTCCAACATTATCACGCTGAACATGGAGTTGCTCAATAAATAATTATTACTTGAGTAATTCAACAAAAGGGCAGTTTATATCTTCCCTACTGGGGCGTTAGTAGTAATGAAAGCTACACCATTCATAGAGTGTCTACTAAGTTCAGTGTTTCTAATCCCATAAGAACCTCAGATATGTTAAAAAATTATATTTTACATGTAAGAATATCTATAGTATATATGTAAGTTATGAAGCATGAAACAAAATGACTATGCATGAACCTATCAATCCTTTGAACAACAACTAGAAGAGCATTTTGCCAGTGTTGGCTCTCCCAGTGTGTTTTTCATCCCCTTTCCTGGTCCCCCCACCAGAAGCAGCCACTATCCTTAATCTTGTGTTTTTAATTTCCTTACTTTTTCAAAACATACTTTAACCATATATGTACGTGTCTTTAAACAATATGTCACCATTTTTTAGTATCTCTGAGTTTTATAAAAATTTCATTACATTATATGTATCTTTCTGTGACTTGCTTTTGTTCACTCAACCACAGGCTTCTGAGGCTCAAACACATTGCACCATGTGGTTGTAAGTCCCTCCTTTCATTGCTTTATAATAGTCCACTGAACGACTATACTACTATTTACCCATTCCCCTGGAGATGGAAATTGGAGTTGTTTCCAAATCTTTGCTATTTTGGCCAATGCTGCTATGAAGATTCTTTTTTTTTTTTAAGATTTTATTTATTTATTAACAGAGAGATAGCAAGAGCAGGAACACAAGTAGGGGGAGTGGGAGAGGGAGAAGCAGGCTTCCTGCCAAGCAGGGAGCCCGATGCGGGACTCGATCCCAGGACCCTGGGATCATGACCTGAGCCGAAGGCAGACGCCTAACGACTGAGCCACCCAGGCGCCCTGAAGATTCTTTTTTGTCCCATGTTGTATACATGCAGGAGTTTCTGTGGGAATGCACTTAGGAATGGAATTGGAAGCAATTGTCCATATTTTAAAATTTTTTTATTTTGGGATGTTCTCTATACCCAAAATGGGGCTCAAACTTATGACCTCGAGATCAAGAGTTGCATGCTCTATGGACTGGGTCAGCCAGGTACCCCTGCAATTGTCCATCTTTAAAAGATAATGATAAATTGTTTTTCAGAGAGGTTGTGCTAATTTACATACCTGTAAGCAATGGGTCAGACTTCTTGATTTTTCTCAAGCTGGTGTTTTAAAATGGTATCTCATTCTTTTTTTTTTTTTTTTCTAAAGATTTATTTATTTGAGAGAGAGAATGAGATAGAGAGAGCATGAGAGTGGGGAGGGTCAGAGGGAGAAGCAGACTCCCCGCTGAGCAGGGAGCCCGATGTGGGACTCGATCCCAGGACTCCAGGATCATGACCTGAGCCGAAGGCAGTCGCTTAACCAACTGAGCCACCCAGGCGCCCCAATGGTATCTCATTCTTTATGGGGAATTTTCTTTGTGTAAAGAATTCAAAATGAGACCTAGCGTGGTAGTCACTTGCTCAAGCCAGCTAGTAAGTGGTGAAGTCAGGGTTTGAACTCAGGTCTTCGGAGTCACACCAGTTAGCACTGCTTGTCTACCTTTCACATCTCTGGGAGAGCCTCGCCCTTTCCCTCGCCTCACCTGCGCTCCACAATCTTCTTGAACTCAATGCGCATGAGCTGGCCCCGGGCTTGTGCCTGGATGCGGGTGATGATGCGGCTCAGCCTCTCATCCCGCATCTCCTCCAGCAGCCCCAGCAGCCCTGCCTTGAAGAACACCTGCAGGCAAGAGGGCTGCAGCCTCAGAGAAGGGTAGCCAGGGTGGAGGAAGAGGGAAGGAGGCGCCGACTAAGCTCCCAGGTGACCCATTACCCATATATCCTAGACCTCAGAGTGAAATATGAAGAACAAGACAGAAAAGAAGCCTGGGTTCCAGCCCTTGAATTAATACAGGGAGCCAGGAATCAGAGGCCTGCTTTCCAAACTCCCAGCTGCTCTGCGCAAGGTGGCTACATGTCCCGCAGCTCCACCCTGTGGGGCTCTAGACCCACCTTGGTGTGGCCGAACTTGTACTGGTTGTGGTCAATGTCCAGGGAGCCCAGCAGCTTCTCTGCCCCTTTCCTGCTGTCAATGAACTGGCCCTCGGGGATGGCTGTTGGGTTCAGGATGCGGTACCTGGAGAGGGAGGTGCCCCAAGTTACCCACGTTCTGCACTGATCTCTTCTGCCCACAGCATTTGGGGCCACCTGTGGACTCCTTTCCCCGACACGTCTGCCCAGGCTCCCCCTGTTCCCTGAGCTCTAGGGTGTCCCTGTACCCACCTCTGCCTGAAGTCTCCGTAGAGGATGCGGTTGGGGAAGCCCTTCCTGCAGATGCGGATGCCCTCCAGCACACCGTTGCAGCGCAGCTGGTGCATGACCAGGGGGTTGTCCATCACCCCTGCAGCAGGAGAGGAGAAGGTGTCAGTCTCAGGGCAAGTGGATGCCAAGTGCCCTCCCCAGACTAGACCTTTACACATCGCTCACCTGGAGCCTTCCGTTCATTGGGGATGATGCAGCGCACAAAGTGAGGATGGGTGGTCCTCAGGTTGGTCATAAGTTTATTCAGATTCTCCTGGGGGTGGATGAGAGTGGGGAGTCAGGAGCCACAGGGACCATCTTTTTGGGCCCTGGGTCCCTGACAGCCTGTCTCCAGAATTCTCTAAGGGACCAAGAGTTGACACATAATTTAAGATGGGAGTTCAGGCTTGTGTAGAATTTACATGCCCAAAATGACCACCTAGCTCTAGCTTCTTTCCTCCCCAGACTCAGAGAATCAGATTAGGGTGACACAGTCAAAGGGCTGGGCCTGCCCACCACAGGCCCCCTGGCACCTCTGGGCCCTTCTTACCCGGTGGAGGGCCGACACTGTCTGAAAGGATGAGCCCTTTTTCTTGCCTCCTTTGCCTTTACCGCTGTCCCCTAATAACAAGAGAAGGGATGAGGAGCCAGAGTCTGAAAGCTGAGGAACCCTCGGGCAGGGGCAGGGCTCTGCCTCTCACTAGCCGTGTGACTTCACAAAGTGATTCTCCACGTCTCGGTTTTCCCACGACGAGAACAGTAACTGCCTCAAAAAACTGGGATGGAGATTAGATAAGCTTGCTTGCCACATAGTAGGTGCTGAAATCGTATGAGTGCTCTTCTCCCACCTTCTTCGAAGCCCTCCCTTCGTGCCTGCTTCTTTCCACGGTCTACCTTCCTTCCTGGAGTTCCTCCTCCTTCCAAGCCACAGCCTTTCTCTTCCTTCTCTGAACGGGACACTCACCTGTGCTACCAGATGCTCGGTGATCCTCTCAACGTTTACCAAGACCTCCCACAGGCACAGCTCTACACTGGGCCTGGCACAGCGATGTATGTGCCACCCTCACTCACCTCCAGTTGTTCAGTCTTGAGGAGACATTTGACATGTACACCAATATCCATAACACAAAGTGGAAAATGGCCCTTCTACAGATCAGTGGCAGAATGACTACTGTGAGATTTCCTGACCCCCATCCCAGGGCTTGTGGGTTCTCTTCTGCCTCTAGAATCCTGTGCTTTGAAGCAGAGGGATCCTTGCCCCTGGCAACTTCAGAATTGCTCTGGCCCAGGGCAGGGGCTGCCCTCTTACCGACATCAGCAGAAGCATAGGTGGAGAAGAGTGTGGCCATGAGCTTGAGGGAGGACTTCTGGTACAAGCCCACCACCGTCTCGTTGAGTGGGTCTTTGTTTTTCTCCAGCCAGCCCAGGATGTTGTAGTCCACTGTGCCGGCATAGTGGATCAGGGAGAAGTGGGCTTCC